CTCCAGCTGGCGCAGCGCCGCGCTGGGCACGCCAAACTTGGGCTGCACCATCTCCCCCTGCTCCGTGATGCGCAGCCGCCCCTGGATGCTGCCGGGGGGCTGGCTCTGGATGGCCAGCTGCATGGGGCCGCCACCGCGGCCCACTACAGGGCGGGGCGGGGCAGGGCAGGGCAGGACAGGCAAGCAGGGGGCGTCGTTTGCAGCAGGCGACCGGCAACAGCCACACACACGTGGCCAGCCATACACACTGCTGTGCAGCAGGCGGCGGCCCCCGCCGCTACGGTGCCTGCCACCCGCCCCAAACACACGCACACATGCATCCCACGCCCCCTGTTCCTGCCCACACAAACAAAGCAGAACGCGGCCTCCCACCCCACCCCGCCACACACACATCAGAGCCCACTCATCCTGCCCGCCTCGCACACACACACAACGCCACCTGGCCACCCACCCGTGCCGCCGCGGCCGTGGAACAGCGTCAGCTGCAGCCCGTGCTCGCCGCACACCGCCACCAGCTCCTCCTGCGCCTTGTACAGCGCCCAGGCAGCAGCCAGGCGCCCCGCGTCCTTGCCTGCAGGGACCACGGTGAGAGCGGGCAGGCAGGCGGCGCATGCACGTGGGCGGGACCAGAGAGGCGGGATACTCGCTCCCTCCCAGCTGAAAGACAGTCTGCGACTCATGCAGCAGTACCACCACCAACACACACACACACGTGTGCGAGCGCCCACACGACCGCCACGGCAGCGCCACCCACCCGAGTCACTGTAGCCCAGCATGACTTCCTGCTGGCTTCCATGTACCGCCGCCACGTGGGCGCTGTACCATTCGTTGGACAGCAGCCTGTCCATCACCCCCCGGCTCGCCTCCAGGTCGTTCAGCGTCTCAAACAGAGGCACCACGCGCAGCGGGGGGCTGGCGTGCTCCCGACGCGACACGTTGCTCTCGCTCAGGACCTGTGAGGGGCGGGGGCGAAAACAGGGGCAGGGGCGGCCGGCGGGGCACGCAGGTGGGAGGGAGGAAAGTGGCAGGGCACGCGGTAGGGGGCGCGGCCTCCCACGTGCGCAGCCTGCAGCGCCACCAGCGCGCGCCGCGGGCCGGTGGCGGGCCACCGACGTGCCGCAGGCGAGGGCTGCGTCGGATCAGAAGAGCATCCGGTGGCCTGTGGGCCCCATTCCCCAGGCACAGGCCGCCTGGGCGCACCCACCCACCATGAGGCGCGCCTCCCGCTGCAGCAGCTCCACCGCCATGACGTCAGAGGCGCGTGTGGCCATGGAAATGACATAGGCGCTCAGGCACTGCCGCCCCAGCACCGCCGCCACCCTGCGCGGCGCGCGCGGCGGCGGGGAGGCGGCGGCGGGGTGAGCGCGGCGGCGGGCCAGGGGCCCACCGGCGGGCGAGGGGCGCAGGCAGGCACGGGCAGGCGCGGCGCGGCCGCCCCCACACATCTCGTCGCCGTCAAAGCGAGCTTGAGGAGACTGGCATGCGCACACACGCACGCACATGCCGCCCCTGCCAGCCAGCTCTCCAAGCGTTACGGCACACACAGCACACACATACCATCCCCTGCCAGCCAGCATACCCACGCGACCCACTGCTGGGCCTGCTTTGACCCAGCCTGCCAAGCTTGCAGCATTCATTGTGTGACATGCGGCTGCCACACATGTGCCCCCCCACCCTCACACACCACCCCCTCACTTGAGCGTGTCCATGACCTCCTGGGCATCTGGCGAGAATGGCATGGAGGGTGGGATGAGCGGGCGCTTGCCGCCCAGCTCCGCCGTCAAAAAGGCCATGCGCCGGTCCTCGTCCCACTCCCCGTAGCTGCCCAGGCCCAGGTGCTGCGTCACCTCGGTCAGGCACTCGGTGTGCCGCGTGCTCTCCTGCCGCAGGTCCAGCTTCATCAGGCTCAGCCCGAAGCAG